TAGAAATATTATTATTAGTTAAATATCGACATTGTAATATTGGAATTTCGACAGAAAATTGAAAATTTCGTTTAGAAAATTAAAATGGGAGATTCTGGATTGTTCTTGGGTTCGTACCAAATTTATAATTTCCTTTCTTTGAACTCGTAAGATATATCATTCTTCTGGTTGAACACGGTAGTAATGTAGTCACCTAAAAATAAATACATGCACGGTCATTGTGTGGGCACACACGATGGAACAACAGCAGGAGAATTTTTGTTCCGATGTATGGCGTGGCATGGTCGACGACTCGTGTCGTGTCATTCGCACAACGCCGAAAGCTGCAAAAGCCAACTTAACTTCTTTTCACTCTCGGCTAAAATATCTCGTTGAAAAGGATTCTTGGAAGAATTCTTAACCTTTTGAAGTCCTTCAGACGGGTTCTTCTGGATCTTCGAGGAGATCTTCGGTTGAACGTCTCGAAAATCTTGAGTCTTGAATATTTTGAAAATCTCAAGGTTTTAGAACATTCGGCACTTTGTAAACAACTTTTCAAATCATTGGCATAAAACATTCAACAAAAGTAATCAAGATACGTATAAAGTACTAAATACTCGTCATGTTATCAAATCCTACTTTCAAGATTTTAATCCTTAAGTAGATCTTTAATTTTGAATCTATGTTTAACGTGTATCAAGCGAACAAATAGAAATACATTTTGGAGACAACAGAAGATTACATAAATTTTCAAATAATGACATTAACGCGTAATACAATTATTGATTTAAAATTAATGATTAAAACAACCACTTATGATTAAAGACTATCTACCAAGACTCAAGATCTCATCAGGACTTTCATGAGTGCTGAACGATTCTCGAAGTGTCTCAGACCCAGTGAAAACTGAATATACGATGTCTGTACTTGCAATCAATCCTGCGTAAAGATTTCTACTTGCAGTATAAGCAAAAGAAAAGGAAACAGACGAAGAGAAGGAAAAATCACGTTTTCGACGTAACATCGGACGCGAAATTGATGATCGTTTACGAGTATTAATAGCGACGCGAGGGACTCGACGATCGTTAGACAGTGAATTTCGCACGATTATGGCCGGATGAAATACTTCTCTGAGGCCGAGGCTCTCGGTAATTGCCACGTACCGTCGAGTGATAAATAATTTGCAAATATGCCGTACGCGAACAACGACAACATTGCACGTAGGGGCGGGCTCGCCGCGTCTATAGTCACCCGGAGATTTATCGATTCGTTCGATTGCCGTTTCGCAAACGCGACCTTGAATCCCAGCACCCTTTGTCTTGCTCCTTTTTTTCCCCCTCCCCCCCCCCATACATGTGCACTGTCCATACACACCGCTCTATTAGTTCGTCCGTCTTCCTCTATCGATCGTAGACAATCATCGGTTTTCGCCGATCAGATTTATCACGTCAATTTGTCGAAGATAATTGTTGTTTAAACTACGGAACGTGTTTGTCGCGGCAAGCATGAAAAATCGAGAGCCGGAAGAGTCAGTTGATTTCCAATTGCTCCTCATCAACGAAACGAATCTTTCGAAACTTGGTTCGAAATTTTGAACTCTTACTTCCTGAGTGAGAAAAAACGTTCGAGAGATAAGGGAAAGGGGGAAAGAAAGGGAGGGAAGCTATCGACCCGTTTGATTGATTGAAACGTCGAGCGCGTCGCAGTTGTTTCGATCGGTAAATGAATTTCGTGCCAGCCAGGTATACAAAGCGGCGCTTTAAATCTTCGGGGCTTAATAATCAGTCTGAAGGCTCGTAATTCTTGACCGTGAATCCCCCGTCTGGAAACCGGGGGGGAGGGGGACGTTGAAGGCAACAGACGAGATGAAACGCCATCGCGAGGGTGTGCTGGGCGTTCGTTCAACAACGGAGCAAACTCAAGATGATAACACCTGATGTTTGAAAATATGTGATTTTTTCTCTATCTTGCGAGGTCCGTTTCAAAAGTAAGCTTTCCAGAACTAACGAAGCGTGGATAATTTTTCGTGGAAAATGTCATTCCTTTTAAAACTTGCACGATCAATTAAATGACTTCTGAAATAGTTGAGGATGCCGCAGACACTTTGCTTTCGTGACTAGCTCAAGAAAAATAGCAAGGAGCCAAATCTATCATATATACAGTGTAATACTTTTCTTTTCTATGAAAGAAACTTACAGCAAATGCATATAACTAGAGTTACTATAATTGTTACAGCTCAACTCCGAATAACAATGTCAACAAATTTGATTTCCCTTCTTTATTAATTTCTTTTATTTCAATAACAGGTAATTGATAAATTGGACATGTTTCTGGGCATTATTTGCCACTATTAGAAACACATTATTGTACCATCGGTATTATTCGATCGGCGGCAGTTATTGGTGGCATTTTGCTAACGCGAGAGTTAATTACTCGTCGTTTCTATTTCCATTTATCATGAATCATCCAGTGGATAACGATCCGCTTTTAATCGTCCTATTTCATTATTTATTCGATCACGACCTATCTCGCGGGGATCGCCCTGTCCTTCACGAATAATAAAGCGTTTAACGCTGCAATCGCCACTGAAATTCTTGATGTTTCAATTGAATTTCAAACAGAGCGTAAAACGCCGCTAACCATCCGCGAGACGCGTGTATGCGTACGTGTAAAAGAGCGCGAGCACGGAATAGCCAGTGTGTTCCTCTGACCGTTTATTATGGCACCGAGGAAAATTACGAACGCGCCTGTGGCCGTCGCGGTAGCCGAGTGGTCCGAGGGAACATGCGAGTGGCGGCAGGAAATGAACGCCAGACTCGAAAACTCGGACGAGCTCCGAGTGTGTCTTAACGTCACGTCCGACTAAATGAAAATACAGCAGACAGCCGAGTTTAGCTTTCGTGCAGAATACCTCTCAGCGTTTTTAGTAGCAAATTAGCTTCGAAAGAAACCCCTTTCGAAGAACGTACTTGAAGATTTTACGAAGTCGAAGGATCTTGCAGAGTGTGGAGGAACATCTGGCTTTGATCTCGATCCCGTTTTCGAAGCACGAGTCACAGCAACGCGAGTAACGAGTAACCTCGAAATTCTATTCCTTTTTTAAAACACGTTCACAGTGGAATAGATCCATCATTGATCTTTGGCCTCGTTTTCAAATCACAAGTACAGAGTGGCCAAGTCGAGAATAAGAGCTTCCGAAAATTTCCGACAGATCGAACGATCCTCAGGAACAGGAATACCTATCTTCGATCTCAGCCTCGTTTGCAAGACACGAATCCAGAATTCCCTAGAATTCGCCCGTATGCGCCACGATTGTTTCCCACAGTAGAAAAGAGAGGATGGTCGATATCGCGGAGGAGGGGGCATTCTACATCGGCAATTTGCATGACCGATGATCGAGCACTGGTGCACTGACGGTGGACTAGGTGCATCGTCATTACGCACTGGCCAGATACGATCAAACTGTCGGTAATGATAGTCGCGCGACCCGGCGCACGTACGACGAACGCCAGGGTCGCGTTTATTAAATTACGTCAAATTATTGGTACGCTTCGAGGGTCGATTATCGGGGCTGCTCGTTCGACCGCCGAGGGATCGTTCTCCTTTTCCCCGATTACCGCGGGAAACCGGCGCGAGGTGGTAGCTGAGATCTTCATGCTCTCGGACACGGCTCTTTGCCGATCTATCGTCCGTTTATTTCTTGCAAGACGGAAAGGGAAAGGAAGAAACGAATGCGAGAGGGAAAAAATCTCCTCTTCGCGGAGAGAGTAGGCATTCCTGATAAATGATCATACATACTCTACTTTAAACTCGCATTTAGATTAATGGATTCAATTGATTAAACGTTAATTAAAATTTCATTTCGTTAAACATCAATTTCAATTTTATGTACGACGAATGCAATAAATATATAAATGAACTGTTTATGTTTATAAATGAACTACTGTATTTGAGTTAATTTAAATTAAATCTTATTTATTATTTGAACGTGAATTTTTACTACGTGAATGAAAAATTATTCGCAGGAAGAAGAATCAGTGGACTTCTGCTACACGATTATTGTGTGTCATTTTTATTTAGATGCTAAATTAGGTTTTATCATCTTTATTCTACTTTCTTTAAGACATGAACTTTTGGTTTCAGATTCGAACCGACGAAGGGCTGAAGAAGGCAATGAGCGGTCCGAATGAGGCGTCAAGGATCTCCGATGTCTTCGATAAATCAAAACTCGTAGCCAGAGCTCAAACAACGATGGAAGAATAGATGGATCCAGAGTCCGTCGA